GACGCGTCGCTCACGCCGTAACGGAGGTCAGGTCCACCTGAATCTCATCCAGTTTCTATTCTGGTTCTCCTGACAAACCAAACGATCCTAACGAAGTGTGCTCAGAATTGGATTCATCAGACGGCCTGCAGTGGTCAGACAGCAGATGGTCTGTTGCTTAGCAACGCTGCTGCCTGCCCGCATGGCTTTCAGTTGTTCCGTCAAAGCTAGCGAAACTGATCCGTGCCAAGCTCGGTTCCTTACAACCGTTTCCACACTAGCATGGTTCCTCGCCTCCTAGTGGCGATCTACGGTACTACAGCTCTCTAGAGAGATACAAGCAAACCAACATGGCGGCGCCCGTAACCTTCAGGCAGCTTTTGGTGAATTTACTTGACAGAGTCGGCTTTTGGGAAGTGATACGACAAGCGATAGTCTAATCAGGACTTCCAGACGCAGGAAATGACGACAGACGTTCATCACACTGCTGAGCAGAATCCTCAGTGGGAATCGTGCGGCGCGGCAGGAAGCTAGGATTGTAGGAACCATTACGGAGGCGGGCTGTAAGGAGACGAGGCGGGCTGCTCATAGAGAACTGAGCCAGAACTGAACCACGCCGAGCCCGACTGATGAACTAGTACCAGTTTAGCGCAGGTCAGTTGGGTCTGGCATGATTCAATCAGTTAGCGTTCCATTTACACTCAGCAGTTACCGTGGTAACCGCGCTCGGGCTGCGCGGCCTCTAAAGGCCAGTGGAAATGGAACTACAGAATGCATGTTTGTGTTGTTGAACTCTCTAAACCCATCCCCCCCCCCAGGTGGATAAAATAGGCCGCGGTTACCAAGGCGATCCGTCCTCTGCTCTGCTGGAGCTGCTGGATCCTGAACAGAACTCCAACTTCCTGGACCATTACCTGGATGTTCCTGTGGACCTGTCGAAGGTGGGAGACGGAAGGCGGCTCAGTTCGGTCCAAACCCTCTGGGTCCAGTTAGGTCAGCTGTGTGTGTTCCTCTCCAGGTTCTGTTTATCTGCACCGCCAACGTGACCCACACCATCCCAGAACCGCTGAGGGACAGAATGGAGATGATCAACGTGTCTGGATATGTGGCCCAGGAGAAGCTGGCCATCGCTGAGGTAGACCACCAAGACCCCAAGGAACCTAAGGAACCAGTCAGCTGGTTCCATCAGGGGCCCCAGGTTACCATAGAAACCTAGATAGCTGCAGAGCTAAAGCTGAACGGGGCAACCTCAGTCACTGATC